GGGGGGCGGGCGGGAGTATGCATGGAAATAAAGCGGGCGTCATAGAAAGTAGAAAAGCTCCCCACAGTGGACTTGCTAAGCCAGGACCAACAGTACCTGTGAGTTTTCTGGAGGCTCCTCCCACTGCCACTCTCCAAACTTGGTGTTTCTTTTATGATGGATGGCCTTGGGAAAATCAGATTTGATTGATTGATTGGTTTTTAAAGATTTTGTTTTATTTATTTATTTTTTAGGGGGTGGGGCAGAGAGAGAGGGAGAGAGAGAATTCCAAGCACACGCCACGCCCAGCACATGAGCCCTACGCTGAGCTCCATCCCACAACCCCGAGATCATGACCTGAGGCGAAATCGAGTCAGACACTTAACCGACTGAGCCACCCAGGCGCCCCTCAGATTTGATTTAGTGAAAGGCATTGGATAGCCAGCTTTGCTCCCTTTCTTCTGTCAGAAAGGAGAGGTTCAGGACTTCATCCACCATTTCTTGAGTATGGGTAGGCATGTGACATCATGCCTTTGCTGGGGCCCCACACCCATCCCTTAGGGGGTCTTTATTTTGCCAACGAGGAAGCCAAGACTTTCTGGGGACCATGATTTACCCAGGACCACACAGGAAACATCTCGATGGCTCCAGAATTCCTGGTTCTTAACTGTAACCCCCACCCCTGCCTCTTGCATCTGCATCGGTTACCTTGCAACCCATCCCCCCAATTGTGGTTTTTTTTCCACTTAGTTCGTAAATAGTAATGTAGTATAATAAAAAAGATACTGGGGCGCCTGGGTGGCTCAGTTGGTTAAGCAACTGCCTTCGGCTCAGGTCATGATTCTGGAGTCCCGGGATCGAGTCCCACATCGGGCCCCCTGCTCAGCAGGGGGTCTGCTTCTCCCTTTGACCCTTCCCCTCTCATGCTCTCTGTCTCCCATTCTCTCTCTCAGATAAATAAATAAAATCTTTAAAAAAAAAAAAAAAGATACTTAGGCCAGGATTTGGAGAAACCACATTCTTGGCTTACTGTTATTTGCCTAAGAGGGTCAATTGTCCTTCATGTCTTTGTCATATTTTTATTCCCTGTAAGATTAGACAGCCCCACCCTGAAAGCCACCTTGAAAACAAAGCCCTTAGGTTCCCAGAACTGAGATAATCTTGCAGAAGTGTTTGGGTGGCTTGTGGGCCCTGGCCCTCCAGGTAGCTGGTTAGGGGCCTTGTGTTCAAGTAGATCTGAAAGGCTCCATGGGGAACCTTTGGTGGAGTCAGGCCAGGACCCACCCCCGCCCAGCCCCAACACACACACACCAAGGAGTTACCAGCTTTTATGGTTTGTTTCATGTTATCTGAATCTGGTCGTTGCTGGTCTGCCCTGTCCTCCCCCACACCTCTTCTATAAAGTGCGGTTTGCATCTATTTCCCGAAGGAAAGAACCGGTGGGTCCCCGCAGCTCATTTGGTGGCCTGCCTGCTTTCCTGAGAGTGTCTCAGCAGTGCCCCTCAACTATTCCGGGCTTGGAAATGTATGCATGAAAGGAAAGGCCACATAAGGACATGGAATTTTTCAAAGTTGACATTTTTCACGTTTTTACACATCCAGATGGTTAAACTGGAACGTTGGTGTTCTGCTTAGGCAGGTTGGCCTGACTGGGAGCTGTGTTTGGGCTCAGGCCTGTGCGCCCCGGGGGTGGAGGCTAGGGTGGAGGCTGGGGTGCATCAGAGGCCCCAGCCAGTGGGGATCTTGGCTTTTGGAGCAATTCTCTCTACTCAGGGCCCCAGAAAGAGTTAATTCGGGTTCTGGCGCTCACTGATGTTGTGACAGTGAAGAATGTTAATGGGTTCTGTGAATCAGTTTGTAAGTAAACTACGGGGTGAACTCATGACTGAAATACAAATTTTTAAAAGCCTCTTTAAAGATTTTAGGAATAACTTACTATTTTTTTGTTTTGTTTTGTTTTCCTTCTAAGGGATTTTCTTGGGAGTTTATTCCCCTCCCCCCCAAGAGTTAAACAGTTTTATTGTTTGCTTTCTCAGTGTTCCTGTCCTACAATAGTTCTGAAAAGAAGAGAGTCAGTCCCTTGGCTGCAAGCATGGGGTGGGTGCGGGTTTATGTAATTTGACTTCTTTTCTCTCCAAATCAGTAAATATTTACAAACGACCTTATCAAACAGCTTGGGTACATTCGGTCACTTGAAAGCATGCGGGCAGAATAGTGACTGCCCATTGGCCTGCTGCCAGGTCAGTGGGCCTCACAGGAAGGACTGACTTTTTTTTAAATAAAAATGTGGTCCACAGACCAAAAGTGGGCCTCAGAAGCAACTCTTTCCATGGAACCAGTTTTAGAAAATTTGCATTTTTAAGTTTGACTTCTAAAGATCCAACTCCTTTAGGCCTGGGGCAGAATACTGTGAACTTCCGCATCCAGAAAATAAATCCTGGCTTCTGGCTTAGTCCCCCCCCCCCCCGCCTGATTTCTTTTGTTTCTTGGGGAAGGTAATTACAGAATTCCATTTGAAGCTTAAATGTCGTTCTTTGTGAGTAAGTAGGAAAAAACAAGTGGATTACTTTCCGTTTTTTTGCCAAGTGGTGCCGAAATAAGATGGTTTAAAAACACAACTCTCGAATGTTTTACAGTGGCAGTGGGAGTTTGGGGGTACCCCGCCCTCTTTTTCTTTCCACATTTGAAATCTGACAAATTTAAAATGCATTTTTTAGAACGGGGGATACATATGTCCTTCAGAGTCGACACTGAAAAATAATAAAGGAATCTGAGTTTGGGGGCCATCAGGCTATGAAAATTACAGTATTATTGTACCAGCATCCCCTGGGAATAGCAGGCTCATTTCGTCTGCCACACTTAATCCAGGTAAGACCGAAGTGCATTTTATGGTGCCGTCCGGTCAGTGTCCAATATTACATATTTCTGGCTGGCAAACAATGACAAGTAAGTGAGAGGCTTTTAAAAAATAAGTAACTGTGGTAATTGCTATTCATCTACTTATTGCAGAATACTGAATGTTGCTTTATTAATCATTTTTATGTTTTCATTTTCTTTGCAGAGCATTGGGAAAGGGTCATTGTGGTGCATAGACCCAGAATATAGACAAAATCTAATTCAGGCTTTGAAAAAGACACCTTACCACCCATACTCACACGTGTTCAATACACCTCCTGCCTCTCCTCAGGCATATCAAAGGTAAGCAATTCAGACTTCCTTTTTTTTTTTTTTTTTGGTCTACTGAAGTTGCATTATTTTGGTGGAGACAGGCACTGAAACTAATTTAATAGGCTGTATGATATGAAAAATAACTGTAGGTAAATGAGAAAGAAATGAGGTATTATTGGAGGTATACCCACTGTTGTATTTCCTGCAAACCTTACCGCTTCTGGCTGCTTCGGAGGAACGTGCTTAGAAGGCTTCACAGTGGGCGAAATACTGTCTTCCTGGGTAGAAACATTTACCAAGAAAAGTTGACAGCTTTAACATCTCCATGCGTCACGGTTTGTTGGGATAGAAGTACAGGAATGAGTCAGGTAAGCACTTCGGTCTTCCCAGCCTCTGACTGAGAGAGTCTACAGGTGTTCACTGAAGGACTCACTTGATTGTTGTCATTCCTGGTCTCCATGTAGACGGTGCTCCAGAGTGATCATTTTGTTGTGGTTACTTGGTGTTTGCCTCTTCAAGGAGAACAGCAGAGAACAATGGAGACTTTCATTCCCCCTCACATGCCCATTTGGGTTGAGACAGTGAGGTCATAGTGCCATTTTTACAAAGATGTAATTGGAGGGGAGAGTAGGAAGCCTGTCCCTAAAAATAGATAAATAAATAAATTAATTAAATAAAATAAAGGTGTTTATGTTAGATTCCAAAAAAAAAAAATAGCCACATGACACAGATACAAATTTTAAAATCGATTTTATCTCACATAGTGCCAGGGTTGTAAATATATTCCTCACTCCTGGAAAAAAAATTTTTTTCGTTTTTAAATGTAAAGAAGTGTTTCTATTGTAACCACCCAGTTGAGAGACCTTATCCTTGGGCTACAAGTTTATGTCAGTGAGGGATGGCGTGGATTCGTAGATTTCAGTGATTTTTATAGTCCACTTCTTTGCAGATTCTTTCCCTTGTCTGGTGTTTGCTCTGCAGAGGGGAGCACCAGGTGATCCTCTGAAACTGCATTAATGAAGTTCTTGTGCATCTTAGTTGAGAAGCATTCCATCACAGGCCCTAGACAATCAGTCTTCTGCAAGAGACGCGGAGGAACAGCTGGGCTCTCGGGGAAGACTGCTGTATGTCTGCCTTTGCTAGGCGATTAGCGTGATGGTAGCCATAGCAACTGGAGCATCTCCATAGTAACGCGTAGCCGAGACAGGTGCAGTTGCATCACAAGGCTGCTTGTTGCCTGGCAAAAGGACAGGCCATTAGTACTTAGATATACGCTGTTGCCTTAGAAACAAATAACCCTACATAGCAACTACAGTTGGTTTGAAAGATTTGGGGGAGAAAAAAAAAGGTTGTAGCAGCTTTTGTCTGTGTTCATAAAAATCAGCGCAAGCATACTTTATTGGAAATGACAACTTGAGGTCATATAGCTGTAGGAGATAAAATGGGATTTTCCAGAGCAACCCAGCCAACATTGTAGAAATGTCCAGAAGGACAGAGCCATATGCTTGGTTTTCTCCTTGTGGCTGTAGCTACGCCTGAGATGCAAGGGACCTGGGATGGGAGAATTACTGATCTCCGAGGTTGATGGGGGAGGCGATGACCCTCATTATTAGAATTTTCCCCAGATTCTCCCGTTCCTTTGTCATTCTCCATCCCCTCCGCCCCCCACCCTCCAGACCCCACAGAAAACCCTCACTTTCCTCCCCAGTTTGTATCTTGGAAGTATTTCATAGCCTTTTGTTCCTAGGACGTTAAGAACATAACTGTTATTCACTGGGTCATATCATTGGTTCATTTAGACAGTATTTTGTTGCCAAATGTGACCCCAAGGGAAACGCAATAATTATTTAATAATTTGAAGGATTATGGCAGAGCTCTGGGGGTTGCAGACTCAGGCAGAGGCTTTCCGAGCTGGCCTAAGCTTAATGACTTCATTTGATTTTTTAATATAAGCATAAAAATGCAGACAAACCAGAGCTTTTGTGATGAAAATAATTTCCAGTCGACTACTTCAGATCCTGCTCTGTCACCTCCAGTTCCTCTTCTCCCGGGTGACTGAAGGAAAAAAAAAAGTTTCTCTATCTACCCATGCGGGCGCTCAGATTTCACCTCCGTAAAGGTCACTGGATGTGGAGTGAGATGGCGTATCAGATTCTAGCTAGCCTCTCTCTTCCGTGTCTTCAGTCTGAGGACGGGTCACTTTCTCTGTCCTGGAGACGACTGTCCCTTCCTCGCAGAGCTTAGATTTTGCTCCAGGATCCTCTAGTGTGTGCGTTTGTGCTAAAGATCCTAAATACTGGATGACCATACAATATTTGGATAGCTCACAGTGAAGTGTGGTGTGTAGTTCACTTCTAAGTCCTCGGGGCCACTTGTTGATGGGACTTAGGGAGGATGGATGCGGGACAAAGCACGTCATTAAATAGGGACCAGAAATGCTGGCTTGACAATACCTGGCACGTGTGCCGTGAGGCGGGGGTCACCTGTCAGCCCCTCGCAGCATTGCCATCTGGGCACCTGGGAAGTGCTGGGCATTGGCAGGGCTGGTACTTAGCATGCTGAAGGTGGTGCTTACACTAGATGGGTGGTCAGTGCTGGTGCTTGCCGGTGTGCCTGGCGAGTAGCTCCGCCCCGAGCTGCAGCTGCCCAAAAACTGCTGGGAAAACGAGGCATCTGAAAACGCTGCCCCGGACGTTGTTCATGGCCATATACGCTGCTCGATACTGTAGCTCGTGGACTCCGGGCGCCGTGTTCCAGTGTGCCCTTTTGGATGTTTGCTAGGCTGTCCCTCTGTACCTGTTTCATTTGACACCCCAGCTGTGAATTGTTTGTGATTGAAATGCAGAGCTCAGTGACATTAGGCATAACAGACTAAGAACTAAGTGGCTTTTTTTTTAATAATTTAAAAACACTGTTTTTAAAGATTTTCATTTATTTATTCGAGAGAAAGAGAGAGAGAGCATGAGCAAGGGGCAGAGCAGAGGGAGAGGGAGAAGCAGACTCCCCCATGAGCCGGGAGCCCGACGCGGGGGCTCGATCCCAGGACCCTGAGATCATGACCTGAGCCAAAGGCAGACGCTCAACCGACTGAGCCACCCAGGCGCCCCAGAACTGAGTGATTTAACAGAAGTTTATTTTCTCACAGTTCTGGAGGCCGGAAGTCAGAGATCCAGGTGTCAGCAAGGTTGATTCCTTCTGAGTCTGAGGGACAGTCTGTTCCAGGCCTAGTGTCTGGTGGTCACTGGCATTCTTTGGGTTGTAGAAGCATCACCTCGATCCCTGCCTTCGTCTTCACGTGGTGCTGTCCTGGTGTGCTGTCTGTATCCAGATTTCCCCTTTGTATAAGGACGCTAGTCAAATTGGCAGAGGGGCCTGCCCTCCTCCAGTATGATCTCATTTTAACGAATTCGACCTCCAATGACCACATTCTGAGGTACTGGTGGCCAGGACTTTCACATGAAACTTGGTGGGAGGGGACACAGACAATTTCACCTGTAACAGCCCTTTTCTTAGTAAGACATTTTCACTGGTAAAAATATGGAGAAAGTAAGGAGGTATTCAAAAACAAAACAGTGGGGGCATGGTGGGGGGATACAGGAGCCTACCTGAAATTGTTCCCAGTGGCCAAAACTGGGACAATTTGAGGAGCAAAATAAATAACTATTGGGTTATGACCCAAAACATAAAGTAAGTATCTGTGAGTCCAAACTGATGTAAATAAATGATGGAATAAGTAAATGGATATAGAGACAAATCTCCTGTACAAAAGAATTCCAAACAATCTCGGTAGCTACTCCTCCCCTCCAGGAGTTGGAGTTTAACTCCCCACCCCAAGTGGCTGCACTCAATGACTTGCTTCCACAGAGTGAGTATGGAAGGAAGCAGAAGAGGAGGTTTATTGTGGGAAAACCTGGCACCCACCACCTTGGCCAAGTGATCAAAGCTGACTTCCATGATGAGAGGTTGCCAGCAAGCACCTTTGATACGATGTCTTGGAACTGACGGTTCACCTCTGTGGTCTCCCCACCGAGCCCCCCAAGTCCATAACCCCTGCCGAATCACAGGAAAAACGTCAGACGATAGTTTTATCCCTGAGGCGGGGGTGGGGAGGACACTCTACAAAATCCCTGAATAGCACTCTTCAAAGCTGTCAAGGTCATCAAAGGCAAGGAAAGTCTGGAAAACTGTTACAGACCTGAGGAGGCTAGGGAGACGCCAGAGACTGAATGGGTAACGTGATATCCTGGACGAGTTCCTGGAACCCAAAGGACATGGGGGAGAAACTAGTGGAATGTGAATAAACCATGCAGTTTGGTTGATGGTCATGTACCACCAACCAGTGTTGGTTCCTTAGTTGTGACGAATGTACCCTAATCATGCAAGCTCTTAACATTAGGGAAACTGATTGAAGGGTGTCCGGGAACTCGGTGCTGTCTTTGTAACTTTGCCATTGAAGAAAAAGTAGCCCCCAACACACAGGCTAGTTGAGTTTATCAATTTTAAATATCCAAGGCATTTTTGGTCTAATGAAAAGTCAGATCACCGCGGCACTGAGCACTTGACTGACTGACTTTAGGTCTCTTATCATGACCCTATGTCTGAAGGGCTGATTATTGGGAGCTCTTGCTTTTACCTCATTCTCTGTAGGATCTGCGGAGCCACATGAGGGGACATGCCTGTTATTTGGATATTACAGTTCTTGGAACTTTATTTTTGTGAAATGGCACCCAACTTTGCTTTGTAAGGTCCCCAGGGCTGAGCTCAGGGAACTCCAGCTGAGCACGCTAAATCGGCTTTCTTTAGGACTCTCAGCCATGGCCAGTGTGGCCTTCAGACTCTAGGCCTGGGAACAGGTGGGAGGGATGGTATATTTGGGTTTCTTGCCTGCAGTCTTTCAGAAAAGTCCTATTGTCTATTTTAATGGTTATCTTGCATATGCCCCTCCTTCCTGCACATGGAATTTCTCGTTAAAGGATATGCATATTTTAATGCTTTTGATATAGATATTGCCAGATTGCCTTCCAATTTTACACTCAGTTCCAATCTATACTCCCACCAACTTTTTAGGAAATTCTCATTTTCTAACCTTTCTCCATATCTGATGGTTAAATAGACAGTTTGCCAGTGGGAGGCCCCAACTTTTACGATTTTGGTGTTTTATAGTGGGGACATTTAAACTTTACAACTAGATTAGTGCCCTGTAAACAGCGGCTGTCAGATAACAGTGTTTATGGCAACAGGTTGTTTTTAAAAAGTATGTATGTGGATGGATCTTATGTCATACCTTCTCTGGTATAGGAACCAATCCAAAATCAATTTATAGAAGAAACATTTTAATCATCTCTCACCGTAGGTAGGAACAGGTTTTATAATTAATCAAAAAGTATGGTTTATGGAGAGTTTCCTGGATGATCAGTTTTCAGAGAAGGGAATTTGTTTTAAAGATTTATTTTAGAGAGAGAGTGAGCACACACTGGGGGGAGGGGCACAGGGAGAGGGGGAGAG